TGCAGATACAGGCATGGCAAACACACCTTTGAAAAGCTTGAAGTCTGGCGATTCCAAAAATATATACTTTCCTGGGTCTATTTGTAGTCGTTTGGTCACAATTAGAAGATGAAAACAAGTATGCAAATAATAGTCCCGCTACCTTAATATTTACTATACGTTTCGTGAAAATAGTAAACTACGTCTAAAATAATAGAAAATATATCAATGTCCAGACAAAGGGTGGATCAACTCATTTATATCCTCGCCGCGAATAAAAGATTTGATTTAATAATTGATTCGATAATAATTAAAATAAAAACACCCCTGTCTTGATGATGACGTCATCAATATCACTAAGACAAGGTCGAGGAGGTACACCAGTGAAGGGAATTCTGGTATAACCTATCATTACAACACTTACAAGACAGACAATCACCCTGACATATATAAACATATTATAACAATGCTTAAAGCAAGGCCAATCATCTTCGTTATGTGTGATTTTTACTCGCTTCATTATTCAAAACATTGTATCATATCAAGTATATTGACCTGTATAATGCCCACTATAAGTGCCAATATGACAGCAGCGTCAATCAATTCTTGTTCTCTGTCCCACGTCGGCATTGCTGTTGTATTCGTGTTATTGTAATTCATATAATCAGTAGGGGGTTCATCGGCAGGATAATGAGGTACTACGTCCTCTATAGCTGCACCAACCATCATACTACCAATGGCATATGTACCTGAAACAATGTAATTGCTAACTATGATATAAATGTGTGAAATAGTTTCTCAATTATTTTTCGCATTCTTATTAGTGCCAACAATAAACCAAAAGCGCTTGAATGGACAAAAATAAAACAATCTTTCTGTAACGAGATACGGAATACGGTGTTATGAAAACACAATAAAAACTACCTTGTTATAACGTGATATTGCGTCGTTTTAAAGAAATTGGTATTTCATTTATGAACATAAATAAAATCTTGTTATCACGATATACGGAATACGTCATATGGAAATAAACTGCTTAGTAATAACGTCATACTACCCCATAATTAATAATTTGTTTTAAACTACCTCGTTATGGTAGTGTTGTACTTTTTCCATAAAACAATATTCGGTTTCTCATTATTGCAAAATAAATTCGGCTTCTCGTTATTACGAAATAGTTCTTGATGTTTGTCATAAAACAACAATTCACGTTATTACGAGGTAGTTTTCAATTGTTTTCTTGAAATGTTCACGTTTACAATTTACACACTATTGTATCAGTCATGTATAGATAATAGTTTACATGTTTGTTTTTAAAACCTATACAAAGTGAGAATATTCATATTGGAACTTACCCATTGCCAAATCTTTACTAGTTCCTGTGAATGCATACACAATGGGAGCAAAGAAACTCAGATACAGACCATACACTGGTGGTAACGAAGCTAACAATGCATATGCCATACCTAGATGTAAATATATACAATACATATCAAACATATGTGTATTCATTGCTGTCTGCATTTATGTTAATGTATGTAAAATATAACTACCATAACAGGATATGTATAGATTTTGTTTTTCATTCCTTGCTCTACTTTAACCAAGTAGTCTGCACTCTCTATTTCATGAATACAAATTGCGTTGAATTTCTTTATAGTAGATGCTAAACATTCCGTTAGGTGATGGCTGTTGTGTTTGCAAAATTGATAAATACACAACTTGTGAAATACAAATTGTAAGTACATTATATGGGTACTCGTTACAGGACACAAACACAACACGGCTTTAATTCAACAATCTCACTAGCAATGAGTTGTTGAGAGTGATTGACAGCGAGACTAGCCAATCAGAGGACGTGTTGCAACCGATGATTTATTGCATTAATGTCATTTTAAGCATTGAAGTCGTAAAGTAGGTGTGGCCCTCACTTCTGAGTGGTGAGTGTAAACAGATGGTGGAAATTAGTGGATTTTGTTGATGGGAAATTATGTTGACATTGCCTATACACGAAATTAAGTTGAAACATATAGTATAAGTAGCTAACACCACACGACATCGGGGGGGGGGGGGTTCGGGCTACACCCTCGCAATACCCTTCTGTCCTACACTGATTGACTTACCCTGTGGTATGTTCATCACGCAGACTGTTATACCGGATACAATATCGCGTATAAGTTGTGTTTTAATTACATACTCAGGTAGCCATCCAAGTATCGGCAGAGTTGAGACTATAACATCTTTGCAACAACGAGGACCGCAATGACACTTGTGAATCTTTTTCTTAAGTCTCTGGGCGTATGGCACATACTCGAAATCATTCTCTTTGTATTCGTTATGGAATTGTCTTTCCGTGTACGTGGGTCGCTCTATTTGGTAGCTTTGGTGGTGGTCCTCATCCCCAATGTCTGCGATGTCTTCATAGTCGTCATTATTCTTTTTCCCGGTGACTTGTCGATCGCTAGATGAGATGCTTTCTTTACGTGTTATTATGTTATTCGCTTGTTCGTCTGGATTTGGATTGTCTTGAGAACGTTGATCGACTTCCAGGTCTATCTCTGCCTCGTCTGCACTAACCAAATATCGATGAGACACTAGTGAAGCCATTTTCTGTTTGAAACTATGTATTCAAATAAATTAAAGGGTTTTAGCAGGGGGGATTGGCACGAGAGGGCGCCATCCGATCTGAATGGAACGTTTCGACGTCAGTCGTCCGTAGCCATCGTCAAAGCAACAACGTCCCGTTTACGAACAGATAAAATAATTTTAGCAATTTCTTTACAGAATAGCCTCAACAAAACTTAGAAACATTTCATAGACAACTACAGGCTCCAAAATTATTGTCTATTGCAAAACAATTCAACCGACAACCAGTTTGACGCCACAATTTCTTGCTGGAGCCCGAGTTCTACGCGTGATTTTATTGCGTTCAAAACTGTTCCATTTCAAATTGCGCATGCAAACACACTGGGGTTTCTCGAAATGCATACTAATTAGTAACTTGTCACTGATAAAAGTCACCGAAAACATTTTGAGCAATTTTGAGCAATAGTACTAGAGTGAAATTTAAACGTGCCTCTGCATTCTCCATGAATTTCGTAACTTGCTATGATCATGGTAAA